TGGTCTAATCTCAATTCAGATTTGGCCGGTAACAGGTACAGCTAAGAAACATCCATCGTGGGGGCAAGAGGAGAGTGTCAGTAGCCAACCTGGTTGGTTACTTCTCAAAATACTTCTGCTGGCACATTGTGTAATTGGCCGTGCCAGGGACGTGTGGCCGATCGTACAGTTCCATTGTTGCCATGTGTAATTCGTGGCACATTTATACTGGTGTAACAATGTTGCACTAACATGAACAGGGCACTGGCCGGTGTTGGCAAGATACCAGATGAGGCGGGCTAATGATCCCGTATAAGGCAGCCCTCTGTAATGCTCTTCATTCTCACACAAAGGTAGGAAAAGTTACATTTCTGGACCATGATTTCCTCCCAGAATGCACTACTCTGCAGTGTTCATAGTGGCTTTCCGTACAGCCAAGGTCATATACAAGTACTGTGTAGTAGACCAAGTTCCTATGGCCAAAAGTAGGGAATTGAAACCAATTTTATTGGAACATCTGACACAATCAGCTAATCAATTTGTGATCCTAAACCTTCTGACCTATCAAGCCCATTAACTTTTATGTCCTTTCTTATTAGCCCTGTAGGGGTCTGCCACAATGCAGTGAAACCCATGACTGGGCTTGGAGCCCAAGAGGAGGGGAGGAAGGACAGCCAATCCTTTCTCTTCCTGTCTTCTGCAGCCTTTGAAACCTTGTTCCCAGTACCCGTGCCAGCCATTTAGCTAAGAGGGCTGGGGACTGCGTGGGGAGCAATGATCTCATTGTGCTGGCCTCCAAGAGATACAACTTGATGGACCAGATAAAGTCCCCACTGGGTCCTTTGATGGCTTTAGAGAAGGATGTGGGAAAAGGGAGAGGGAGAGATGCCGGGTGATACAGCCCCCGCCATCTCTACATCAAGAAAGTCCAAAACAGGGGCCACCCAAGGAGGGATTCTCCTCTATTCTGCTAACAGCTCTGGGAAAGAAATAACACTGTGTGTGACGAGGCAAGGGCATGTTGAGAATCAAGACAGAGCAGCTGTATCCCCCCCCCCCCCGCCGCCAATTGGGCAGAGGACGTTCTTTTTTATAAGGAGCTATGTGACGAAGAGATGGCAAAAGCACTGGCATAGATTATCTCTACCACTTTTAGCTGCCCTCTCTCATATCTCCTTTGGTTCTCTTAATATCTGGAACTCTGTCTCAAAATACCCATTGGCTACTAACACATTCTCTTGTCTTCTTTGAACAGCTTCATGAATTTCCCCTTCAGGCTGAAAAAAGGCTTAAGAACCTATAACTACATTATGTGCATCTATTCTCTGCTATCTGCATATCTTCCGTGCTTCCCATCTGCTTCTGCCTCCACTCTTAAAAATGTGTATTGTAAGATTCCTGGGCCAGGGACCTGACCTTTTTGCTTATGTTATCCTATAAAGTACCACATACAATTGATAGTGTAATTAGTAGAAGAATTATGATGGTGGTGGTAGTGGTTCAAACCTCTGGGAGCTGATGGTTGTGATGGTCCAAATTTCTGAGAGCTTTTAAGTACTCATACTTCATTTGGATAGAGGTTACTTACCTGTAACGTGGTTCTTTGAGTGGTACTCTGTGAATCCACACAAATGGGTTAAACTCCGCCTGCGCAGAACTCTTGCTTTAAAATGACAAATGAAATGTCTCTTGTATCGCGCATGCTCCGCCTGCCTGCGGTACCCGAGTTCCTTTTTGGCGCCATTGCAATAGGACTGCTTTGTATCGCCTAGAACTTATTCTTTGTTAAAATTTCTTTGGTTTGACCTCTGATCGTTTGGCTTCTGCAGCAGTATGTATAATTAATGTTTAATCACCCTCTTTTCTTTCTTTTGTTTTTTCCCTTTCACCTTGGAAGGACACCACATTTGTATGACAATCAACTGTTTTTCTTGGGGAAATTGTTAGGAAAACACTACTGTGGATCACCTTGGCCATGAGGCCAGCTTCCCATCCATTGTCAATGCAAGGTGCTCCCATCTCAAGTTTCTCAGGGGTTTGTAACTTGTACATGGCATACTATTTCCCCTAAATGTTAAAAACACTTTTGTGTTTTTGCCATGATAGAGGCATTGTTTCTATAGTTGATCAGTAGTTACACAGTACACTTTAAACTGTGAGTGCACTCAGCACATGATCAGAGAGCTATCTCTTATCACGAAATCACAGAGCGATGTCATTTCACATTCGAGATACATTCTCAGTCTTAATCCTCACCACGCCATGAAATATGCAGAATAAATCAATGTCATGGTGCGTATCTAGCAGTTTCTCAGTAGATCACAGCCACCCATAAACTTGCATTTCTGTTAACAGGTATGGTCAACAGATTTGACATGCTGCTTTCATAATTAAAGGACACACTGAGATCTAGAACATTCAACAGCTGAAGCCTGGATGCCCCCACAATTCCATCTCTGTTATAAGAGCACATTACTGGGGCATTGCTTATAAATTGCTGGCATTATCTACATTTTGATTTAGACCAATGTGCATTTTGCCGCACAAACAAAGCCTAGTCTGCCAGCTGTGAATTGTGTTTCTACCTGGTATGTGGCAAGCATGCCTAGATTTACAATCCAGAAATAAAACCATGTTTATTGAGCTCAGGTGGGGTACATCCAGACTGGAGGGATGCAGCTGTATAATCTATTGTAGGTGATCACATTTTTGTCTCAATTACCATAAAGAAATACTCTCAACTACTGTAAAAATCTCCATCAAGAGGTGTTCCTAGTGGAGGTAAGAAATTGTGCAGCAGTGCATCTGGACAGCTCCTGTTGAATTCAGTGAGGTGTGTACAGGAGTAATCCATTTGGATTAGGTATTGTGTTAATTAGCATGCTTGGGGGAGTCTTGTGGCCATAGGTACCAAAATACTGTAGATATCAGAATGTGGGAGCCCATCATCAGCCTGGTCTCAAACTCAGAAGCTGGGAATCAGTACTACCAACTAAGGAGGCATCAAACCTGGGACTCCCAAGTCCAAGATAATGGGAACTCCCAATCTCTAAAGACCAGAGACCCTTGACCCAGATCAAATGTTGGCAGGCTATGAGTCTACATCCCGCATAAGAACGGCACACCCCTTTGTGCAAGCCCCACAATCTGTACCACTGCCCCACAGGAGGAGAAACAGAGGGCTACTAGGTATAAAAGTGAATCTCTGCTCCTTAAAGGCAAAGTGGGGGAGGCAAATGTGGCTTTCCAGATATTCTTGGCCTACAACTCCCAAAAGCCCTTCCCACTGCTGAGAGTGCTTATCTAAAAACCTCTGATGGGCCACTGTTGCTCACCCCAGCTTGAAGGCTCCTCACTACATAGAAAGAAAAGAGCTTAGGGGATCCTGTCTGGCCCGAGTGAACTACAGCTCATCTGTTGAGGCACCTTCAGGGCAGGTTGCTTATTTGGAGCTCCTTTGGGTGTTGCTATGTCTAACCTACTTTGTGTGATCCTGGCACAGGTTCATACCAACATCAAGATGGTCCTGCCTTTATTATCCCAGAATGATCTCCTTCCTGAGACTTCCTTTAAATTAGAGCTCAAGAATTTAGGGTGTCTGAGGTGTCTTGGATTACATATCTCACAATCCCATGATGCTGTGCTGCTGGGGGTTTTGGGAGCTTCTTCCCCTCGATTTAAACTACACAGGTACTAATTACATAAATTACTTCAGAAGGTCTATGGAAAAAGCAAATATCCCACGGGGAACCAAGAGATGTCATAATTGGGACCTGGAAAAAATGAAACTCATCTTCACCCCTATGTTACAAACACAAAATAGTATATATTTGCTTTCCAGCAGTCTCAAAACAAGTTTCATCCCCAAACAGAAGGGCACTTGTGGAAGCTCAGCAGCAAATTTACAAAGCTTGCAGAGAGATCATTGTAAACTGGATATATCCTATAATACATCTTATCAAAAACAAAACGTGTCATCTGTTCTCTGCTCTCCTATTCTTGCATTTTGAATGTGAAGGTCTTAGCTGAAGGGGAGAATGTGGGACGTGTGCGAGGGAGAATTTAGGTTTGGGGCAGGTGCATTTGGAGGCCATTGTCAGGGAAGAACAAGCACATGGATAAGAGTAGGGGAAGAAATAAATTATTCTGTGCCTATTCTTGGTTGAATTGACAGATATTGCTGTAGAAAGTAAGTAGGCAGAAGTTGGAGTACAGTCCACTGTCAGATGCTTGTACTGTCTGAAGTTTGCTGATTATGGGGTCCTTAGATTCTTGCAAATAATGCAAGATGAGAAGCTGTTTGGTCTGAGTCAGCAAAGTACCTCTGAAGCAACAAGGTATGAACCTGGAGTCTCCCCAGGAGATCATCTGTGGAGAAAGGTGGGCTACAAATTGAATAAGTAATGATACAGAATAGTTGTGCCTTAACGTGTTAAGAGATCTGTATATCCATGCCTTTTACAAGTAATGATACAGAATAGTTGTGCCTTAAGGTGTTAAGAGATCCTCAACAGTTATATATCCATGCTTTTTTACATTTAAAATTTCTTTCTTTCTCTTTCTTTCATAGGCATGCAAGAGTCAGTCCATTCCCTCATAAAGGAAATATATGTACAGATTGTCCTCGTCAAAAACTAAAAGTATAACGGGCTGCACTTTGAATCGCTAAAGGGGAAGCAACGTTGACTCTGCTAAGATGTGGACAAAGAACTCTTTAACTCATTTGTCTTTAGTGTGAACTGTGTGGCACAGCTCTCGTGATACTTTGGCACTCAGCCACTCACTTCCTATATATACAAGCAGAAGAGGCAAGTGATAATGATGTTCCTGGACTCGACCATCTGAGGCTATAGATGTGAGGTGGGGCACATGCCAGATTACTCACTGTTCCTGGACTCGACCATCTGAGGCTATACAGTAGATGTGGGGTGAGGCACATGCCAGATTACTCACTGAAGCAAAGGGCATACTGCATACAGAAAAGTTCATGTGTGTTGTTCTTAATCAGGAAGAATGGCTTGGTTCAGTCTCCCTTGTGTCCCCCGCACCACCCAACATGCTAGCCTATGTACTTATTGGGAAAGGACTCCAATGTGTGGTTCTCTCACTTAGCAGACCAAGCAGGTAAAGCTCAGGACAAAAGCTTTACCACTTATTAATCAGAGAAGATGACCTGCAGAGTCCCTTCCCACTCAGCAAAATGGGGATTCAGGTTGGGGCAGCTACTAGCTGGGAGATTCTGTGAGCTGTGAGATGGACCAATTCACCATCAAGGAATGGGATGAGTCCGAAGAAGTAACTTTTTCAAGCCCTAGTTTGGGAAGAAGGCACTGGTCCTTACAGAATGTCTCCCTTGGGTTAAAAATAGTTGGTCAACTGCTCTTTGGTTAATCATCTTCAGAGAGAGAAGGACATATCTTTCCTTTGTCAGCCTAGCTAAATATAAGCTAAACAGTTTGTAAGTGGAGGGGGGGGATGGGCTGGCATATTGCAGATTACGGAGAGTTGTTTTGCACTCTGAAAAAATCTAACCAGACCTTTGGCTGCTGAGTGCTTTCCTGAAGACCTGATGTGGGAGAAGAAGATTCTCACTATCCTTTGTTGTGTTCATGCTGTTTGCCTCCAATTTTGTTCAACTGCACAGTTGTACACACAAATATTACAAAGTATGTTCATTTCCTGTGCTCTCCCAACTAAGCCTCAAACAAAAACGGCTTTTTATCCGTGGAATTTCTTGCCCCATGGGGTATAGGCCAATGAGAGTGAGTGGCCAAGATCCCTAAATGGAGGACTCTTCACAAAGCTCTATGACTTTTTTGCTATGGAGAGAGATGTAAAAGAACACCCTGCCGGTGTCCTGGTTTGTCTAGAGAAAGCAACTGAGATACGTGGTGGTGGTAGGAGTCTCTGGAAGTGGAACTATAGGGGGAGGGTCCCCAGGAAACTCCTGGGGGCTAGATTGAATCTTTGGACCATTCCTCCCTCTGTCCAGCATTTGAAATGATCAATTGTCAGGTGGAGGAGTTAGGGCAGGGCCTGGCAGCATGGTGGTTGCTGAATGACTGGCTGGAAAAAGAACTATCAGCATATCATGGGCATGGCAAGTGGGATTAATGGAAACCATTCCCTTTTCCCCCTTCTTTTTTGCTTTTGAGAACCCTCAGGATAGGAGATATATATATGGAAGCCCAGTCCTTCCAGCCAGATGCCAGCTTTGTAGGGACAGCATTTATACCTCTACCCAAAGGATTCAAGCACGCAGTTCCCAAATCCAAAATGCTATCTAAGATGGGAACATGTATCTCATTATTGCCAGATCATAGTGCCCTGCCTTTGTTTTGGTCTGTCACCTCATGGAGCCCACGTTGCAAGCAGTGAAAACAGCTGCTCTGAAAGCTTATAATGAGGAGATACTGCTTCTTTGGTTATATCCTAGAAACTCTGTCCGTTGATGTGTGGGTGGTGAATGACAAGTCACTTTATCCCAAAGCAGAGACCACTCCAGGGGAGCCATGTGGGACAGGAGAAGCCTGCGAAGAGAAGCCTGGTGGAGGAGACCCCAGAAGATGTGGATTGGGTCCAAAAGGGAGCAAGTGTCCTGGCAGCATCATGGGGCTGAGAGTGTAGAGGGCAGCAGCTTCATCCCCCATCATAGGAGTTGGTATCATCTCCAAGGAGGTGGTGGGAGCTATTGCAAGTTCCCCAGAATTTCCTTTACGCTTTTTGGATTTGGCAGAGGAGGCCTTGCGGTTTCGTGTCTGGATCCCATCCTTGCGCATTGCCAAGGGACGATTCACCTAGAAGGCAGCAATGGGAAAAGTAGAGAGGTGAAACGGATGGTGACCAAGAATCACAAAGTCATGGGGAAGCCATAGAACACAAGATTCTAAACACCCACTACCCACTTGAAAGCTGCCATTTGCAAATCAAAATGTAAAAGCATAATGTACATGTAGTTGAGGAATTGTTGGCCCTGCAGATACTTCAGCCTGAAGCTTGCACAGTCCTTTACCAATGGGCATGCAGAATGAGGTTTCTGGACATTGTTGGCCAAAACATCTGGAAAGCAAAATGTCCCCACCAGAGGTAGAGGTCTAGAGGAGGTGGAGGTCAAACCCAGTTATTCAGGAAAACAGGATGATTGATGGGGAGGCCAGAAATCCTTGGTCATGTAAATGTTTTGGACAGCAAGTCTCTCAGTGGGGGAATAAAACAGTAGCTTAGCATCTCAACTCAAGTCTAGAGGATAAAGGAATGGAAGACATTGTGGCATATCACATCTAGCCTTTGTTCTTCCTAAGTTAGCCCTGGCCCAAGGCAACCAACAGGCAAACGACTTGGGGCATGCAATCCCTTTTATTTTGTGAATCCTCTCCAGTGAAAAAATATTTTTGTTCCAGAAAAGAGAATTTTCACTCCCGGAAACCTCCATGAACTGCAGCTCTCTTCTAAACCAAGGCACAGGACCCTGTGGGCCTTTTCCAGGTTTTCTGGAACTAGGAAGGGACTTCTGGTCACATCTAGGTTGGGGGAGAGGGGATGTTAAAGCTATTTTTCAGGTGGGTTCTCCCAGTGGCAGTTCCATGGCAGGCAGGAGGAACTGGCTCTTCAGGTCTGAGAAATCATTCTTTGCTCAACTTACTAGATAGTGCCTACAACTGAACCTGCAGCTCTCAGAATGCAAAGTATGTATTCTACCAATGGGTCCCTCTGTGGAGCCTTTGCTCACAGGTCCATTATACAGAGAAGGAAATAAAAGAAATTAAAAAGAAACGTATTAGTGGTGCTTTTAGATGAGAATTTTGTCACAGAAGCACCCTGCCACATTCACAGAATTGTGGGAGGGAGTCCCTGCAATGTCATCTTCTACTTGCAACCACCCCACGTTTTTCTAGTGGTACTCCATCTTTCTTCATACCCTACTGACAATCAGCGCTGTGTAATTCCTTTGATAAACAGTGGCTGTCAAGAGCCCACCAAAGAGGCGTACAGTATATGAGACAGTGGCAAGGAAGCCTTTAGTGAGCCCACTTGCTCCTTTCTCTAACATCTTACAGAACCTAATTTCCTGCAAACATACAGACACACCCGCCCTCTGTTCCATTCACTCACTCCCGAACGCACACACCCCTCCCAGGGCCTCCACTTACATTGTGCAGCTTGAAGTAGAGACCACAGGCGTTACATACGGGCTCTCCATTCACATTGCGGCGCCAAAGAGTGGTGGTTGTCGTTTGGCAGTTGCTGCACTGGGTTCCGGCTCGCTTGCTGACAATCTGCATTATTGAATAATAACAATACTAAAATCTACAAACGAATTATTTCTGCATTCACATGACAAGGGCAGAAAGGGAAATATAGTTAATGGGGTCCCAAGGTCACTAATGTCATGTGGCTTGGGATTGCACTTCTTCAGAGACCCATGTGCCAGAACTATCCTAGGCCTAGATATTCCTGTTGACAACACTAAAAGCACAACGTATTTTCCCTTTCTGGTCTAGTTCAACATCATCGTTATCCTGTATCAAAGACCACACACTGGGAAAATGGAGTGTTCTGAGAGACTTGTCCAAACCAATCAGTGATTTTATTATGAAGCTAAACGATCAAATGCAGGAGCCTGAACCCTGAAGTGTTCGGTTTTCCCAAAAGATGCTAAGCACTGGAAGTGTTCAAAAAGAGGGGGTTTTGCTCTCATCTCATGACAGATAGCACAAGAAGCAACCACAGAAACAGGTGGCAACCAGCCACATCTTGCTAGGCAATTTTAAAAGCAAAATTGGAGAATAAACAAATATTTGTGGGATGATCATTAGTTTCGAAATAGAACCAGGAGCTGATAATTTCACAGATCCAACAGGAATCGTTGTCATGGATGGCCTGCTCATATATGCTGTATCAATGGAAATCCATGACAAAATGCTAGCTGTAACCCTGGATTGAATCTATGCATCTCCAGCCCCAGGCTTGACGAGGAGAAGTGCACTCCTTTTGTTGTTGTTGCTGCTGCTCCTGCTGAGTTCAAAATAAAGTTCTAGGAATAAGCAGTAACATAGTGGGAATGGGGTGGGTGGGAAAAGTGCCACTGGAGAGCAGAAGACACTGGTTAAACACTTAAAGAACAGAGATACTTTCTGAGACTGGTGAGCTATGCTAGTCAGCTTTCTCCAGTTTGGTTCACTCCCGACCTTTGGATCTTCAGCCTCCATTAATTTTAACTAGCACGGCCGTTCCTCAAGAATGCTAGGTGCTGTGGTCCAAAATAATTGGAAGGCATCAGGCTCAGGAAACCTGAGCAGAAATTCTATTTGTGAAACATCTTGGTAGAACCACTAAATCTACTACTGGAACCCACAAGTTCCTGATTTTGGGGATCAGATCAAGTTCAAGAGACCAATTTCTCAAGATCAAAGGATCCTCAATGTGATCTCCTGGGCCCCACTGTTGCAGTTTTATGACGCCTAAGCCTGCAATGGTGAGTACTTACACAGCAGCTATGGACTGCGAAAACACCTGCATGTTCTGCATGTTTGGCACCTGCATTCTGTTCTAAAGACTTCACTAAAGCAGAAAGAAGCTATATAAAAATAGGAAAATAATGGCTTGCTAGTACTGGGTATTGAATTTTTTACAGGTTCCTTTGTGGCCTCCTTTATGTCAGAATGCTCACAGACCACAAAGGGTGGGGGGGGGGAGCGCATATGACTTTCTAGATATTTTGGCCTACAACTTCCTTGAGCTTCACCAAGCATGATGAACAGTAAGGGACTGTAGCTCACTGGTTTATTATCACTTCTTCAAACAGGAGAAAGGTATGTGGATAGTTTAATTACACAGTTGAGTCACTAGGTGGTGCTGGAATTAATTGTCTCGGTGTACTCAGGAACTTCTTGTTGCGTTTTGTTTCTGTTGGAGGCAATAAAGTTCTTGTCCACCTTCTGAACTCTTATGACCTTGAAAGCTTATATGGCAGTAATAGGTTCAAGTTTGCTGCTTTGGTAGACCCTCTTCTACAGGGTATTCAGGCATAATGAATTGCATTTTTCTGCCCTCATTGCCATTTTCTGTTTCTGTTGGAGGCAATAAAGTTCTTGTCTACCTTCTGAACTCTTATGACTTTGAAAGCTTACATGGCAGTAGTAGGTTCAAGTTTTCTGCTTTGGTAGACCCTCTTCTACAAGGTATTCAGGCGTAATGAATTGCATTTATTCTGCCCTCATTGCCATTTTCCAATGTCCCTCAAGAAGGTATTAGTTACAAGTTACTTACAATTCCCTTTTCCAACAGCAAAAATATCTATTTACATAATACATTACAATTGTAACTTAATGGCCCAAATCCGATTCATTTTGAGGTGTAGTGTAATGTTACACCTGTGTAAATATGCTGGGCATTCTGCCCCAAAGACGACATATGGTGATTATGCAACTAGTTGCACAGTTCCTCTTTGACCAATTGTACAATACCCTAGTGGAAGTGCTTCGTAAATAGCACTTCCGCCTGGGCACAATTGCATCTATCATGGGTGAAGTTATGCCCGAGTAGCTATTCAACAGGATTTCAGTCACTGACTCATAACATCACTCCTTTTATGGTGTAATTATAATTTGCAATCTTCTGTTATGGTAACAAGGATGTGTCTCACTAACGAAGAGAAGAAGATGGTTCAAGGGCTGATTTGTGCGGTACCTTATGCTCTGTTGTGTGTGCTAAGGCAATGCTGCAGTGGATGCAAGGAAAATATAATCTGTACTAAAGCACTGGTGGGCAACATTTAGACAGTTTTTCTAAAATGTAACACACACGTACACACACACAAATATTTTAACTACTTACCAGAAACATTAAAGAGTTAATTTTAAGAGCTACAGCTATGACAATAGCTAACTATTTTGTGAATCTTGGAACTACAATGATTTCTTTAAAAGTAATTTTCTAAATTGAGCCAACCATTTGTAATCATCCAATGTAATATATGATATCCCAGAGGTTAAAACCAGAGTGGATTTTTTCCATTTTGTTTTTAATATTTCTGATTTAAAATCTCCCTTCAACGGGCAGGGAGTTGAACATCTGGGAAAGAAAACCTAAGAATGGCAGCACAAGAGACATCCTGGATCTGATGGAGGTGGAAGACTTACCAAGCGTTTCTTGGGCCGGATGAGGGGTCGGTTTTGACCATTCATCTTGTGGTAGAGGCCGCAGGCATTACAGAGATAGTGGCCAGTGCCATCTCTTCGCCACAGCGGAGTGGCAGTGGCTCCACAGTTCACACACTCACGGGCTTCTGAAGGGAGAAAAGGAGAAGAGATCGTCAATACAGAGGCAGTAGGATAGCTCAGAAAGGAAACAGGATAAAGCTTTGTGGATCCTGTGTCTATTTATTTACATTTCTATCTTACTTTCTATCCAGTGTTTTCAAGGTGACAGGCATGGCTCTCATCCCCACTTTGTCCCCACAACAATCCTCTCAAGGAGATCATCCTAAAATAGTGTCCAGCCAAAGGTCACCTTGGTTGAGTTTTTTATAGTTCCATGCAGAATGGAACCAGGGTTTTCTAAGTGTTATTCCATCACTTGAGCTTTTTACACCACTGGTTCCCAACATTGGGTCCCCAGATGTTCTTGGACTACAGTTTTGAGAAATCTTGGCCAGCACAGCTAGTGATGAAGGTGTCTGGGAGCTTTAATCTAAGGACATTAGGGAACCTGAGATTGGAAACCACTGCTCTAAAAGACGTTGCTATTGTGTGATGTTATGCTCGGTTGGACAAGCCTAGTCGGAGAATCCTGCAGTCCATAACCCTAGAGTCTTTTTCACAACCCCAAGCCCCTGCAGCCTACCTACCCACCCCACAAAAAATTGAATGAAAAGGTATGGGGTGAGTGATTTTTGCTTATCTTTTATAACACACGTCTCTTTCCATTTTATGAAGTGATTTATTTTTGGTTCTGAGAGGAGGAAAGCAGAGGAGATGATTTTTAGGCTGTCCTTTCTACTTTCACAACCCACTGCATACAGCACAAGGTTGTCATGGAAGACAACACCACCCATAGCTCTATTTGTGAGCAAATTAAGCAACCACACAGATTGCAGAACAGGATAATCATGAATGCTCCTGATCACACCAAACAACCTGCAAGCCCTAGCATTGTGCCAGAAAGGAGCGTAACAGCTTGCAGAAAGGGTGGGATGGATCATTCTTACTTAAAACACATATAATCACCAGGAAATAGGGCAACCCAAATCAAACCAAAATGGCATGCTGTATGCTGGTCTAATTGTTCCCTTCATTTTATTCTTGTACATTTAAGCATGTATGTAATGAAGCCTTAATAAAGCAAGCACTCCAGTGCAATTTTTTTTAAAAATGACAGTTAAAAATGTTTTTTAAAAGAAGCATGCTTACTCAGGTGAATTAGAAACACAGGAAACAGCCTTCCACTGAGTCTTGTCATTGGTCTGTCTTGCCTAATCCTGTCACTATTGATTGCCAGAGGCTTTTCAGAGGCTTTTCTAGTTATAGCTGGAGATGTCTGAGACAGAAGCTGTCACCTCCTTCGTGCGAAGCACAGGCTGTTCAAACCAGAGCCACACATTTCCCATTAAGAAGTATTCTCCACCACCTCCCGTATGGCTATGGCAAACCTACTAAAAGGCATGGAATATACTGTATTAGGATGTACATACACAAAAAGCCCCACAGGGCGAAAAGCCCACTGCAGCTTGGCATGTTGGATGCAGTAAAAGAGTAGCAATGGTCAAAGGAGATGTTAAATGAAATGTATATTCTCCTTTCACGTTTCCTTCAGAGAATCAAACTAGATTTTAAGAGTGAATGCTTCAGAGATCAAACTAGATATTAAGGTGAATGCTTATTCCCTGCAGTTAGCCTGTTTCTCCTCTTACTCTGGGATGAGATTTCATCAGTAATATGTGCCTCAGCAATCAAGAACTGCAAATTAAGCCCATATTTACCTTCTCGTGACCAACTGCAAAACAGAAGTATGCTACCTGTGAAACGTATAGGTGAGGCAAATCACACACTATACAAAAAAAATTCCACATCATTCACCACTTGAGGGAGTTCTTGAAGGAGTAGCAGAGAATGCCAGGACTTATCATGTGAAAAGAAAGAACCGCCCACTTCTTGAAATGGAAGAAAGTCTAGCCCCCAGGAAAGTTTAGCCCTCAGTTACATGGGAGAAATGGGTTATTGGAAGCCACTTCATAGACTGGAGTTGGCAGAATCAGGGCCAACCTAAGAAAAGCGAGAGGGGGGAAAGTTGTTGCACCAAACACAGTTCCCTGTGTGCGTGGAAAACAGGCCACTTCACGTGTAAATCAGTGTAATCTCCGCCCCTCACATGTACTGTGGAAGATTTGGCATTAGCTTCCCTAAATGCTCTTGACGTTGTCCATTAATGTGTGAAAATTATCTGAGATACATTTATTAGCTATACTGTGGTGCTTCTGACATGAAGATAGACAGAAAAGGAAGACCACTTGAGAGAGTACACATGCTAAAAACACACTGTCTAGTCTGACAGATTTTGACTTCACCATTTCCTTAATTTACATGGCTAGACAAGGCCTTCATTTTGAGCCTTGGATATCTTGGGCTATCTTTCAGGGCAGACAGCCTCGGTTTGCATCTAGAACTCAAATAGTGTCCCTGCCTGATACATGGAACAGAGTGAGGCAGTAGAATGGACTGAACCACAATGTTCCACAGAGCTGGAGCAGAGGTAAATTTTGAAGTGCAAGTCCCATAGGCAATGCCCCAAGAAGAGTCCAGAAATTCAGGCAGCTGTACTGCTAGGTGCAAAATCCTACCAGGATTGTAACACAGGAGCATGCCACTTCCACCACTTGCTCTTTTGTCAAATACTGCAACAACTTGTAATGCTCTTACATTTGTTTGTTTCCTTATTTGTTTAGTATAATAAGTGAAGTTATTAGTTGCTTCCTAAACAGAGGGACGTGGTGGCGCTGCGGGCTAAACCACAGACGCCTGTGCTGCAGGGTCAGAAGACCAAGCAGTCGTAAGATCGAGTCCACGCGACGGAGTGAGCTCCTGTCGCTTGTCCCAGCTCCTGCCAACCTAGCGGTTCGAAAGCATGCAAATGCAAGTAGATAAATAGGGACCACCTTGGTGGGAAGGTAACAGCGTTCCGTGTTTAAGTCGCACGGGCCATGTGACCACGGAAGATTGTCTTCGGACAAACGCTGGCTCTATGGCTTGGAAACGGGGATGAGCACCGCCCCCTAGAGTCGGACACAACTGGACAAAAATTGTCAAGGGGAACCTTTCCCTTTACCTTTAAACATTTCTAGGAGAGGTGTTTTAGCTGTTTTAATAATTTAAGTCTCTAACCCCCCCCTAAAAGTAACTAAAAGAGTAATACTTCAGTAAAAAGGCACTAATGCAATACTGGTACAGGAATGTGTAACATGCGACTTTTTATAAATGTATTGTGTTCTACACTGACTAGTTAGCTCGGAGGTTTTGGTATCTGGTTCAGAGCCAGAGGTTGGGAGTTCGATTCCCCACTGTGCCTCCTGCGAGTACAGCCATCCTGTGTGGCCTTGGGCAAGCTGCACAGCCCCAGGATGCCCCCAGAAGAAGGGAATGATCAACCACTTCTATTCTCTACCTGGAAAACCCTGAAAAAGTTCTTCATAAGTCAGAATTGACTTGACGGCACGTGGTTTTTGACTATCTTCTGTAAATAGCATCAGCTTTGGTTGCCTGCCAATCAACAAGTTTCTAGCACATGGCCCTGCACGCCCTCTGACCACGATAACACTGGACTGCAAATGGGAGATCACGCTTTCATAGATTTCCTGACTCACAAATGTATACATCTCTGTCGCTGAAAAACCAACACAGTAAGCAACGGGATAAGGCGGGTGTTTCTGTCTAATGTGCGGAGTTTTCCATTCATAGGGAGGGGTTTCTGAGCACAAAAGCATTTAAAGTTGCTAATCCCCACCCCAGTTGCTTTCCAAAGGGATGTGCTGTTCATTCTGAGGCCTCATTCCTATTTCATTCTCTGGCGCGTGAAGAGCCCAGTGAAAGATCTCACCGGAAGGAGAAAGCTGTCCTGACCCCCGTACTTTGGGGGAATATCCTGCTGTCAGGGGGCTTCCAGCTGGCTGGAAGTATCCATACTCCTGCCCCATCGCGTAAGGGCTATGGGTTGCTCCCGTTGAGGTCCCCAGTGGGAGCAGTTCAGCATGAGTGGGGCTCATCCTTTCCGTCTTCAACATATCCTCGGGAGGAAGGTCCTCGGGTGAGGGAGGTGCTTGCAGGGTCTGATAAGAGGGTGTTGCAGTAGTGTAGAGTGGACGTCCGACGTGACTATTGCTGGGGGCGCTGGAAGCCCATGCTGCTGGGCTATAAGGGTGTCCGTCCACCCACTGCAAACCATTGAGAAGAGGGTACTGATGCACTGTGGGAGAGAAGGAAAAAAATTAGTGATATGCAGTGGTGATGAAGGTGATGGTAGAATGAGGCAGGGGTGGGTCAAAGATAGCTCTAGATCTACTGGTAGATCCCCTAGCAATTTATAGCAGATCAGCAAGGCTTTCTGACCCCCAGTTTTTGAACTGCAGCAGCACAAAATAACTCCTTAGCCCAGCTCTTGATTATACCGCTGATATGAAGAAAACCTTGCAATTAACCAGGAGTGGATTTTTGCACAGAAAGACAATAAACTGGATTCAGTTCTGATATCTGAGTTCAAAACTCTCTATTCCTTCACTGAAGGTATTTTGTGTCAGCCTTTGGTTGACAGATCTTTGGGTATCGGTCAAGCAAAACATGCTGCTTACAATCTTTCTAATACTTTTTTCTCAAGTAAAAAGTAGATCCTGCAATTCTAAAGCCTGCTCCCTCCTGAAACTGTATGTGTGTGCCTGTGTGTCAGTGCAAGTAAACTAGTAACTCCCAGGTGCATATAGGAATAGTCCTGCTGAGTCAGACAAAAGGTCTACCCGGTTCAGTACCCTGTTCTCCACAACAGGTAAGGAGCAATGCTTCTGCTAGCCATAAAATGCCTGCATTGTTAGTAGATGGACAGTTCCAGACAAGGCTTTTATCACATCATTGTTCTGCCTCTTTCATTGAGTTTTACTGGGGCTGAAGACATAAATGTCTTCCATTGATCAGCTTTTCCTGTTTTCACACTCCTTGTTTCCACCTTTTTCTCTTCCTCTGGAGCATCCATTAAGGAGAAAAAGATGGATGTACAGAATGCCTTCTAATTGTTAGCATGAGAAGACCCCCCTGTCTGGAAAGGCTTTGTATGTACATGTGAGTAGGACTTGAGTTCAATCCCACTGCAATGAACAAGATGCAAATTTGTATTTCAAAATCTTCAGTTATTCTTAGTGGACACAGAGATTTTACACACAGAATTGGAGATTCTGGATCTGTACATGGATCAAGAGGTGTTCTTCCACAACTTACTTTACCAAAAACAAGATAAAATAAAATAACTGGAAGTGTTTTGGTTTGTTTTTCGGTGGAAGAGACATTTTAGTCACTTCCATTCTCATCTAGGAGATGATTCAGCCCTTCAAGAGAATTACCTGGCTGGAAAAATAGCCCTCCAGATCTTTGAGGTCTGCCCACATATGCTGTGCATCCTCTCTGTGCTCCTCTGACATTCATAAGTCCACACGCATGGGACGTTCTTGTCACTGACTCCTCCTTTTCTTGTCAAGTCTGTGTCTATAAGTCTGTGTCTATAAGGAATCTGACAACTGAAATAGCTTGCAGGGGGCACCTCCCATGTACACGAAATGGCACAGGCCCCTCTCCCAGTTATACCACTGAAGTCTACTTTACTGCCTTAAGATTCTTCCACCTCTTTCTGCTCCGAATATGATCTAGACCACTGGTTCTTAACCTTGGGTTACTCAGGAGTTTTGGACTGCAACTCCCAGAAGCCTTCACCACCAACTGTGCTGGCTGGGGTTTCTGGGAGTTGCAGTTCAAAAACATCCGAGTAACAAAGGTTAAGAACCACTGATCTAGACTCAGTCTAGAGCTCAGAGATAGGACATTTTAAAAGCAACACTGTTACTTGTTATTTTTCTAATGGTCTGCAACCTTTTGATGGTAAGGTAACAATAACATGTTATTTCCCTTTTCACACAACAAGTAAAGTTTAGTCATCATGAGTTGTTACTAGTTATTTGTTGCCTAAGATGATGGTGGGGCTTCTGTACTATTTCTGTAAAGTACAAACTTTTTTGTTGCATCAAAATTTTTATTTACCATAGACCAGGAAGAGTGGACAGCTGCTGCACACATTTCCTGTCTTTCCAAGAGTAATGGGACGCTACAGGTACTGCGGGAAGCATAGCCGGCTTCCTGCGGTACCTGCGGCTTGAGGTACTTCTTGGACTGTTATAAAGAAAGCCTTAATTAGATCGAGAAAGAACAGGGCCCCTAGGCAACCTTACAGAAGGATGGCAAGGCTAAAGATCAAAGCAGTGGCCAGTGCAACTAAGCATTTTGGTGACCATGGGAACATTAACAAACAGCACAACCACTATCCAAACAAGTAAAATAAGACAGTTACTTTTGCAAAGTATCATTTCAAACTCTGGATATAACAAGGCCTTCCTCTGGAAGGAGAAGAGAAAAATGTCCCCATGAGTAACTCCATTTAGCTTAATCCTATGCCCTAAGACTAAATTCTTTTGGCAAAGGCCGATCCTTATGTAGTCAAATGACATAATCCATGCACAAGAAAAGAGAGATACAGTATAAGCAGGTCTGGGAGAACCTAAAGGGTTCCTGGGGGGATGTTACAGTAAACTGTAAGCTGTAAACTGTAAGGTGTAAGATGGAACGGAATGAAGTATCTGAACAAGGGCATGCATGGCTGGCTAGCTGGACAAGGCCTTGTCCTTCCACAGGGCAAAATTTTGATGCTGGTGCCACTGTCCTTTAACATATGCAATATGAAAACTTAATAATGTCAATGGAAACCAATAAACTCTGACAAAGCTAAGTAGAGATCACGATTGTGCCCACAGAGTGGCACTGGATTCTAGAACAATGTGCCAGCCAACAAAGGCTATTTGACCCAGAGGTGAATTTGAGCTTCATTGGGCAAATTAGTTTTCAGTGCCAGGGCTCAAGTCTTTAATATGAAGATGACCACTAAAAACACTTTGATGATATACTGGACCCTTTTGCCAAAGTGCAAAACCAGTTCTTGTCTATGATTTTTTTTAAAAAAATTGGCCTAGTTTCCAGGCCACTAGGTGCTACAGCTACAATCTAGTCAAAGTACAATTTCCCTTGCAGTAAATGTAAATAAGCCTGCAAATATGCTGTATCCATACCTGGGGAATGTCTGTAGGATCCAGACATATGAGAGAAATATATGGGCACAGTCCCAGAGTCAACACCCTCTGAACCAGGGAAGAAAAGGTCTGAGTCATTGCTGGCTGGCAAGGGAGATGATTCCAAATAATAGGTGGCAGGGTCTTGAGCCTTTGTTCCCATGTAGGCGGAATTTTCCTCTTCAGATAATAAAACCTGCAGGGAGAAAGAGGTCACACAAGATTGGGCATTTAGTTCCATTTTTTAGGAGAAAGGTGAGATATAAATCACACGTGAATGAACAAAAAAGCAGAGGGGTGTAGGGATGGCAGGAGTCAGGAGCCCACAGCTTTACTTATTAAAATGGAGAAACTTGTCATTATCAAAAGTCCTGTCAATTCCAGAACGTTCAGCCTATAAAAATACCTCACACGATAGGATACAGGATAAAGGTGGGGATGGGCAGAGGGCACAGCATAGGCTGTTGTATGCCCAGTGTTTCCCAGTGCTCCTCAGAATTTTTTTGTTTTTTAAATTCAGCACCAAATGGCTAAATTGTCTTGCTGATTTCAGTAAGCTAGCATTTACTGAGAACTTGGTGTTGATTGGAAGGGGAAATTTAATGTGGCTTGAAACAGGAAATCTTTGCATCTGACTTATAGCTACCCTGATAGGGTTTTCAAGGTAAGAGGTAAGTTTTGAAGGAGTGTATTCTCAAAGTTTTGAAGGAGTGGTTTTACCAGTGCCAGTCCCCAATCCCTTTCCAAGGCTAGGCGGACATTCAAACCCAGGTATCCTGGCCTGTTACCGTTATCTGCTATACCACACTGGGTACCCTACATTACTTGGGGGTGGAGGAGGAGAAGTTTGTAAAAAGAAATGTTTCAAAAATAGTGTCATGAGTGAGAATAAAATTACTCATCAGTGCAACTAGTAACATTTTGTACTTACTGAAACAGTAACTTTAGAAGGGCATTTTGTCAGGGGTAGAAATCAGGTTTTATGTTATCAGTCCAAAGGTTAGGAAAAAAGTGATGAAGAGTATTAAAAAGTAGTGAGGAATGCCACAAGGCACTTGAGGAGGACTGCGACAATTCAGGACAACAAATTATTTTTCAAATACTATTTAAAATGTTTTTGTAAAAAAACCAACAACATTGCCCTAGCTATTGCAAACTGATCTATTTAATCTTTTCCCTCTTCCTCCTTCTATTCCAGTGTAACATTCTGATCTAGGATACAGTTGCTCATAAAACTGACGATCTAGTATTGTTTCTTGCCTCTCTGACACTTTGCTTCCACCTCTGGCAAAATGAGTTCTCCCCATTTGACACCTCAAAACATCTGTGGATGTTTTTGCCCCTGGATGGGGCTCCAATAAGCGATATTGGCTCATTAATTGTTGGTGAGAAATTCAAAGTCTCACGCCCTCCTCATATCAATAATGAGCATCAATAGCATTTGCCATCATAAACAAATCTCCACGCATCCTGTGCCTCAGTTGTCACTATTGTATCCAACTGATCTTCCTCCCAGTAACTGGAGATGGTGTACTTCCCCATTTTTTGTTCTTTCACAAGTGACTGTCGCAAACCAGGCACACTAAGTGATATGAGAGATGGAAAAAGTTACTTTTGGGGAACTACTAATCCCAAACTCCGATAACTAGTCTAGCAAGTTATAATCTAAAAAATCTGAAGGGCCCAAAAACATATAGCTGAGGTGAGACTTGAACCCAAGGCTTCCCGGTACAGTTCCAATATTCCATTGTATTTGAGTTGTTATGTCCCATCACATTGCCTCCAATGACCAATTTCCACAACGTCCCATCCTCAGCTGCCCTGTTCAGCTCTTGTAGACTCAAGCCTGTGGCTTCCTTTAGAGAGTCAGTCCATCACATATTTGATCTTCCTCTTTTCCTGCTGCCTCCAACTTTTTCTCACATTATTGTTTTGTTCAAAGAATCCTCCCATCTCATGATGTGCCCAAAATAGGATAACTTCAGTTTCTGCACTTTTGCCTCCCAAGGTAGTTGAGGCTTGATTTGATCTAGGAACCACTTGCTTATCTTTCTGACCCCCCTCCCCCGAGTATCTGCAAAGCTCTCATCTAGGACCACATTTCAAATGAATCTGTTTTTTCCCTGTCAGCTTTCCACTGCATCAGGCTGCCTCTTTTAACATACTGTATTTTAATATGTACTCTGCACTATTACCCGTTGAAGATTTAGAGCTCCCATCTACTTCAGAAGCACACAATGGAGTAAGAGTCATCATGGGTCTCAGTGGAACTTTCTTACCACCTACTCCAGCTATTCCTCAACAACAGAATGAAACTGCATAACACACTAACAATTCCCTTCCAAGACATGTTCATAGAGGTCTCCTTCTCAAGTCTCCTAGAGGTTCACAAGTGACTTGCTTCTAATATGCAGTGATGCCTCGCAAGACGAAAATAATTTGTTCCATGAGACAGATGCCTCGCAAGACGAAAATAATTTGTTCTGTGAGACATTTCATATTGTGAAAATTTCATCTTTTGAAGCGTGGTTTCCCATAGGAATGCACTGAAATTTAATTAATGCATTCCTATTTGTCTTGCGAAGCACAGCCATAGAAAAAATTGTCTTGCGAGTCACCAGAAAATCGCAAAACGCTTTTGTCTTAGGAGTTTTTCGTTGCGCGAGGCATTGGTCTTGTGAGGCATCACTGCGTTTAATTCAGGGAGCCCAGCTTCCATCCTTTAAGAATGGCAGGCACATGGATTTGGAAAGTGCTTCAGATAGTCTGCAGTCTAACCTCTGGCTGATACTGTATAGGAAACTCTATATTTCTGTTGCCTCTAAATTTTGGTGCCCTGGGGCAAAGCTTGTTGCCCTGCTGAGCTGCAGCTCTGAGAAAACACCACAAAGGGTCCATGCAGTTGCTTTATTTGCCTGAGAGGCTGTAGAGGAAGCCAAGGCCTAGCGGAGCCCCAAACCAACCCCACCCTACTTAGGTGCAGTGAACTCAGCAAGCTGATTCATCTACCTTCCTTTATATCTCGTTCTCTGATCAGTCTCCCTTTCTCAGAACTGACACACTGGCTTCAGGGCCTATTTTCCCCTCTTGCTGTCATCTAGATCTCATTGTGACCCGGAATACAGGTCCTTCTGTACCAAGATTATATGTGACATTGCATGCGCACAGGGTTTAATTTTTTGTTACAAAATGAATTCAACTTAATATATTGAGCATGAGGCAAGAGTGATCAAGCAAAGCATGGACTTTCTGACATGTGAGACAGGATTCTGGCTGGCCAAGAATTCCTGCTTTATACATCATGATAAAGTAGAACAGAAAACCCATAGTGTAGCTGCTCCCATTTATAGGAGCAGCCACGTAGGAGCAATTGAGAAGCAATCAATTCAGCAGAATTAGAGTTCTGGGCTTATTCTGGCCTCTAATTAACTTTGTTTCTAGAGGGGGTTTGAATGATACCTCCAAAAAGCCATTGTGAATTTCATCTTTCCCTACTTAATGGATTTTCTTAGGTATGAAGAAAGGCAGAAGAATCAGTGAAGCATTACAAACTGAAGATGTAGGAAGGTTACAAATAGACTAGAGGATTATGGATAAAAACACTATGAATGTTCAGACCTTTCACTAAGATTCCCTGAACAACAAAGGCCTATTGCAGAATAAAACTCTCTTTTGGAGAATTCTGCAACTCTGAGTCCCAAAAAGTTATATTCTCCTGTTCTTAGTTATGAAGAAAGGCAGAAGAATCAGTGAAGTATTACAAACTGAAGATGTAGGAAGGTTACTAATAGACTAGAGAGTTATGGATAAAAACACTATGAATGTTCAGACCTTTCACTAAGATTCCCTGAACAACAAAGGGCTATTGCAGAATAAAACTCTCTTTTGGAGAATTTTGCAACTCTGAGTCCCAAAAAGTTACCGTATATTCCCCTGTTTTGTGTGGTTAACCCTTTCCTCACAGATGTCAATTGCTTCCATTTTGCTTCTTCGTAGCAGGGCAGTAGTAAGCATTAAGAGTGAGGGTGAAAGTCAGTCATATGATCCAACAGGGAATCACATCTGTTTTGAGCTGAAGCTAGTGGCAGTAACCAGTTCTTTTCCCAGTGAAGCAGAAGATCTGGGGGGTTTCCCTTTTTGAGGGCCACTAACCGTGGATGTTTGGGGTGCAGAAGAGAAGATATGCCTGCCCTTTGAACTCCTGCATTTATATACTGTCTTGTGCATAGACAGATATCTTGTATTATAGCACTGTGTGCTTCATGTAAGAATTATGCTAATATACCACTCTGCAGCTTTGTCCTCCCCTGGCAAAATGTGTGTGGATGCCCTTGGCATCAGCATCCGCTCCGGCACTCCAGCCTTCTTTGAAAAGTCACTGGCAGTGCAGTGTAGGAACTTTAGCTCCTAAGACCCTTTTATATACCAAGCTGCTCCACCAAACTGCCGTTGGAGGGGTTGTAATTCCCTTCCTGCAATGTTCTTTCGGCTGTCCCTTCACGATCCTTGTCAGGCCCTTTCCCTTTTCCAAGAACGGCAGTTGGATCTGTTGCCAGGCTTTATCATCTCATCTTTGCAGTGTGTCCAAGCACGAGGGTATGAAATGAAGCTTTTGAAATCAACCTTGAACAGATGCCAGCTTCCTGTGAATGTGAGCCTAGTGGCGCTGTAGTTTTCTGATTCACTTCCTCCCCTCCCTCTTCCCACCTCTGGGATCTAAAGGACCTTCTTGATTCTGTTCTCAGATGTGGGAGGGAAACAAAGGCTGTTGGATTATGGCCCAGACTGGAATTATGCATGCGCATTGTAGGATTCATTCATTCATTGTATTTGCATCCTCTTAATCATTCCAGGTCTGTTGAATTTTAGGGCCATTCAGATCTTCTGGCAAATCCTCCTGGTTCATAAGAAGATATGTGGCAAACAGAGAGTTCCCAGCCAGTAGGTAACACAGACCTAAAGATGACTTCCATTCTAGAAGGCAGATCAGAAGACAACTCAGGAGCATCCTTCCCTAATTTCCCTGATCATGGTCAACTTTGAGGAAGATTATGGTAATACTCAATATAAATCAGGAGTATGTGAATAATGCTGGCTGGATAGCTCAGTAGTTTAGAGGTTGGGAGTTCGATTCCCCACTGTTTTTTCCAGCCTATGTGGCCTTGGGCAAACTACATAGTCCCAGGGTGCCTCCAG